TTATAAAACTGACTGCTGAGTGTCCAGACTTAATGTAAAGTATAGTAAACAAGATAGTGTGGTATTGGTGAAAGATCAATGGAAGAGAATACAAAGGCCAAAATAGACTTGCATTAATATAGTTGACTAAGTTTTGTAGAGAAACAATGCAATTGAGTAGAGAAGAGATAGCCTTTTTTTTTTTTTTTTAAAAAAAGGATTTATTTGTTTATTTTAAAGAGTTACAGAGTGGGGGTAGAGAGGTCTTCCATCTGCTGGTTCACTCCCCAAATGACTGCAACAGCCGGGGCTGGGCAGGGCTGAAGCCAGGAGCCTGGAGCTCCATCTGAGTCTCCCACACGGGTGGCAGGGAACCACATACTTTGGCATAGTCTGCTGCCTTCCCAGGTTAACAGGAAGCTGGATCCGAAGCAGAGCAACTGCAACTCCAGCTGGCGCTCACATGGGACGTGGGCATTGAAGGTGGCAGCTTAACCCACTGTGCCCTTTTGAATTGAAAAGGGGGGTTGGAAAGAAACACGGGCAGGCATACTAAAATTGCCATAATCTACCACATTTCTGAGAGAAGTATATTCAAGGGGTTGGTGTTGTGGCGCAGTGGGTCACCACCATCTCTGCCCCTGCCACTTGCGAGGCCAGCATCCCATGTCACAGTGCCAGTTCTAGTCCTGGCTACTCTGCTTCCCAGCCTGCTTCCTGCTGATGCACCAGGGAAAGCAACAGATGATGGCCCAAGGACTTGGGCCCCTGCTACCCATGTGGGAGACCTGGATGGAGTTCTTGGCTCCTGGCTTCTGCTTGGCTTAGCCCTGGTGGTTGAAGCCATTTGGGGGAGTACACCAGAAGATGGAAGATCTCTCTGTTTCTGTTTCTCACTGTGTCACTCTGTCTTTAGGATAAGTAAATCTTGAAAGAGAAGAAAAAAAGAATTCCCAAATATATCACCTTATTCTATTAAAGTGTTTGGATGTGTGTGTGTGTGTTTTAAGATTTATTTATTTGCAGAGTTACACAGAGAGGGGTGGAGACACAGAGAGAGGTCTTCCATCCGCTGGTTCACTCCCCAGTAGGCCGCAACAGCCAGAACCGCGCCAATCCCAAGCCAGGAGCTTCCTCCGGGTCTCCCATGTGGGTGCAGGGGCCCAAGGACTTGGGTCATCTTCTACTGCTTTCCCAGGCCACAGCAGAGAGCTGGATTGGAAGAGGAGCAGCCGGGACTAGAACCGGTGTCCATATGGGATGCCGGCACTTCAGGCCAGAGTGTTAACCTGCTGTGCCACAGTGCAGTCCCTGGATGTGTTTTTTAAAAATACCTGTATGCCAAACAAAACACTATCCATTAATTTCTCCAACTAATAATGTCCAAGTGTTGGTAAAGAGTCAAACTCCCGGTGATTGTGACATCAGAACCCTAGGTGCTCTTTCTAGAAATCCTTACGTTCTATTCTCAGAAGGGGCAGTAGCTCTTTGCTACTTGAAGATGACCTTATCTTAGGTGATACTGATTCCTATTCCAATTTCACTTCAGAATTCTCTTATTTACATTAAAAATATTTATTATCTGAGAGGCAGGGAGCGAGAGAAGGAGAGAGAGAGGGAGGGAGAGAGAGAGAGAGAAACAGAGACAGAGACAGAGAGAGAGACCACAAGTTCTTCCATTTGCTGGTTCACTCCCCAAAGCCCCACAACAGCCAGCAACCATGAACTGGAAAGCCAGGAGCCAGGAACTCAATCCAGGCCTCCCCATTGGACCATCCCTGCTACCTGCCAGGGTCAGTTTCAGCAAGAAGCTGGAATCAGGACCAGGAGGGAGTTGGAAACTGAACTCAGGTGCTCCCATGTGGCATGTGGATATCTTAACTTCTAGGCCAAATGCATGTCCCCAGTATTTATATTTCCAAAAGATTGGTAGCATGAGTCCTGTCTCAATTTATCTTAGATAATTTACTCTTTTTTTTTTTTTTTTTTTTTTTTTTTTTTGACAGGCAGAGTGGACAGTGAGAGAGAGAGACAGAGAGAAAGGTCTTCCTTTTGCCGTTGGTTCACCCTCCAATGGTCGCCGCGGCTGGCGCGCTGCGGCCGGCGCACCGCGCTGATCCAATGGCAGGAGCCAGGAGCCAGGTGCTTTTCCTGGTCTCCCATGGGGTGCAGGGCCCAAGCACCTGGGCCATCCTCCACTGCACTCCCGGGCCACAGCAGAGAGCTGGCCTGGAAGAGGGGCAGCCGGGACAGAATCCGGCGCCCCAACCGGGACTAGAACCCGGTGTGCCAGCGCCGCTAGGCGGAGGATTAGCCTAGTGAGCCGCGGTGCCGGCCTAGATAATTTACTCTTACTTAAGGTGTATTCAACCCAGAGTTTCTAGAAGTCTCTGATGGGTCAAATCAAAAAGATAACAGAATACTCTGCGATGAGCTTTGAGCTAATTTAAATCTTGACAGTTCTAGACATTGACATTGGATGGCTGGCTTGCTATGCCCAGGCCAACCTCAGTTCTCTACTGACTTGCTGTGCGTTGGACGCTATTGCTTTTTCCTGAAATGTAGAAAGCCCGCTCACCTTCTCACTGGCAATCTCTCTACTTTAACCCCACGGGCTCCACACGGACTGGTGTTTGGATTTGGCTTAGTTCTAGCATGCAAGCAAAAATGAGGAGTGAAGAAGAGTCTGAAGTCTTGCCAGTGTGCTTGCTTCACCAAGAATCTCCTTAAAGAAACCTCCAATTACAGGCTATTGGAAAGGGCCACAAAGTTGGCAGGGCCAAGACCAGACAAGAGTATGTAGAAGTGTACCATTCATTCAATAAAGACCAAGTGCCCACGAGGGGTTCCAACAGTACAGTGAACATCTAAGACAAATAAGCAAATTAATATTCCATTTATACCATTAGGAAAAGGACAACAGGGTAAGGGACAGAGTAGTAGAGACTGTTATTTTAATTCATTTTTTATTAATTTGAGAGTGAGAGAGAAAAGAGAGAGCTCCCAACTACTGGTTCACTCATCAAACGCCCCAAAACCACTACAGGGATGTGGGGTGGGTTGGGCATTGTGGGCATAATGAGTAAAGCAGCCTGCTACACCGTCATCCCATACGGGCACAGGTTCATGTCCTGGCTGCTTCACTTCCAACCCAGCTACCTGCTGGGAAAAGCAGCAGAAGATGGCCCAAATGTTTGGGCCCCTGCTATCCATGTGGGCCCCTGGCTTTGACCTGGCCCAGCCCTGGTTGGAGGATTTGGGGGAACTCAGCGTGGGGTTTGGGTTTTATTCTAGATGTGCTAGCAGGACACTGGCAAGTTTTGAGCAGGGGGCAAGGACGGTCAGGGTATGTTTTGAGAGATGGCTTGTCAGCCAGGTGGAGAACGGGCTTCCGCAAAGTGCATGAGAGTCCAGTCATCAAAGAGAAACCGCTCTTAGTTATTCCTTGCCGCGGAAAGACTCTTAAAAGTATCAAACGTCAAAGGAAGAATGGGGCGGTTCAGAAGCAGCTACAACACCCTCGGCAGGACACCAAGAGGCTGGACGAGCGCCTATGCCCTTTGCCTTGACCTGGGAAGACATAATCCTGCCTCCTCTTCCTCTGTAGAAAGAGCCAGAAACCGCCTTCTGATTTCCTGGGGGTGCCCCTTGCCGGCCGAACTTTATGGGAAGCCCGCTGATGAGGTTTACAGATAAGTCACCTTCACAAAGCCAGGAGCGCAAGAAGGGAGGTCACTCAGACACCCCTGGTGTGGACACTTCAGGAGGAAGTGGCGCTGATTCGAAATAAGAGTGGATGGGTTCAACGGAGGCCTGTTTTGGAGATCAGGGCCAAAGACTCAAGGGTGATTCCAAGGACCCTCACCGGAGTACAACAAAGGACAGTCCCGCTTCTCAAGATAGGGGGCCACTGGAGGGGCGCATCGTGTGTTGTTTGCTTACGGAGGAGGGTAACTCAGCCTTTCTGCAGACATTCAAACGGACACCAAGAGGACACAGCTGATTGTACCTCGGGAGCTGAGAGGAAAGACCGGGATTAGAGCCCTCTCCGACACTGGGCGACTGCCAAAGAGCTAGCAGAGGAATACCCAGAGGGCGTGGTGAGCTAACCGGAAGACCACAAGGGTGCAGGGAAAAGGTGGCACGGGTCAGCCGCCGAGTGCAGAGGAGAAAGAACCGGGAACTCCCCCACTGGGTTAGCAACGAGGAAGCGGGTGGGTTTCCTTTTTGGGGGTTCTGCTGTAACATGGGGAGTCGGGGCCCGCAGGTGACCTGCAGCCGAAAGGGAATTCTTTCATGCAAGAATGGAAGAGGATAATGCATGCATGAGGATACTTCAACAAGCTCGTGGGAAATGGGATAGAGAGATAAGCTTGTTTTCATGCAAAGAATTCTTGCGACCCGTGCATGGTTTTCCACGAGCTCTCTGATGACCCTGCTCATGCCGCAGTCTCGGCCCCCTGCCCCCGGGGAGAGTGGGTAGGGGAGCCACCTCGCAGGAACTGAGGCGCTGCCTGGGTGGGGACGGCCGATCCGCGGAGGGAGGAGCCGGAGCCCGAGGGACAGGGTGAGGGTGGGGAGGTGGGTGCCGGGACCCAGACGCCCGACGCCCGGCGCTGCCGGCAGCTCGCGCCGCCGCGCATCCGGCCACATCTGAAGAGCCACAAAATGGAAGAGGAAGGGGAGCACGCCTCCGCAGGGCGCTTTGGGGGGCGCGGGCCGCGACCCGTCGGGGTCCGGGCGCTCCCTGCCTGACTCGCTTCTCTCAGCCAGCGGCCCACCGCCGCGCCTCAGCCCCGCCGCTGCTCCAAGACGCCTCTCTCCGCTTCCTGGAGCCACCCGGAGGCTTCGCTTCCCAGCGGCCCCGCTCCGCAGCCCCCAACCTCGGCGCTCCAGCCGCGCACACCCCGACCTCCCCCTACCAAGCCCCGCGTAGCCTCGAGCGCCGGGACAGCGCCCCCCAGCAGCCGGGCAAGTAAGCGCGGGACTGCGCGCTCCGCAGAGGGCCGCGCCCCGGGGAGGGGGCGTGGCCGCGGCCTGATCCGGCGGTCACGTGGGCCGCCCGGACCAATGGGCGCGCGCCTCGGGGTCACGCCCAGCCCTGCCGCGCCGCGGGGTCGGCCAGTTGGACTTGGCCCTGGCTGAAGTCCTGTCCGGACGTGGCGACTGAGTGGCAGTGAGTCGCGGCGCGGGGTCCACGGTGGGCGCCCCGCGAGGGGAGAAGCGGAGGAGGAGCGGGGCGGGGCCCGCCACGCCCCCTCGCCGCGGCTCCCGCCGACTTCTCGTTTTTCTCCTCAGGACGAGGCCATGGAGCGCGAGGTGCAGCGGCTTCGCCGGGCGTTCCGATCCGGCCGCTCGCGGCCCCTGCGGTTCCGGCTGCAGCAGCTCGAGGCCCTGCGGAGGATGGTGCAGGAGCGCGAGGCGGACATCCTGGCGGCCATCGCCGCCGACCTGTGCAAGGTGGGCGCGCGGCCGCGGGCGGGCGGGGGTCGCGGGACGCCGCTCGGGGGCTTCGCTCTGCCGCAGCTCGGGGTTTTATTTTGTTTGCTTGGCTTTGGGGTTACGCTGTCCCCGTGGGAGTGACGTCGCCAGCGATGTCGATAAAGCCGGAGCCTCCGGCGTTGGCGTTAGCCCCCCCCACCCCGGTGTGCGTTTGCGGGCGCTCTGGGGGCGTGCATGTAGCTCCTCTCCGTGGGTTGCTCTATATGTTTTGGTGGGAAGGAGCCATGATGTTAAATAAACAAGATAGAGTAAGCTTCCGAAAAGCCTGAACCATTTGTTTGCAAGCATCAGATGTGTGAGCGTGTGTTATGTAGGATTACTGGAGACGTCAGTGCCCTGCCCCTGAGGGTTTTAAACTTAAGAATCAGAACATGCACAGGTAAAATGTAAATAGAGTTAAACATTGTTGAGGGTAGAATGTTAAGATACAGATCAAAAGCCTATTTGCTAAGGTATTAGAAGTGTGATCGAGGCAGGCCACCCTGAATCAGGGAGGTCTTCCTGGAAGAGGCCGTGTTTCAGTTGGAGTTTGAGAAGGCTGGAATCAGTGGAGAAGGGTTTAGAGGCATTGACTATAGCAGGAAGGGATCAGCAGGTGCTTACGAGGGTTTGAAGGAGTCTGGACTGCTAACCAGCCGTCGCCGCCTGGGGTTTTTGACATTCTGGGCCACGTGGATCATGCTCGCTGCGCAAGGTTAACTGTGGCTCTTTGACAACAGAGCGAATTGAATGCATACAGTCAGGAAGTCATTACCGTCCTTGGGGAAATTGACTTTATGCTGAAAAATCTTGCCGACTGGGTCACCGCTAAGCCGGTGAAGAAGAACCTGTTCACCATGCTGGACGAGGCCTATGTTCAGGCCGAGCCGCTGGGAGTTGTCCTGATCATCGGAGCTTGGAACTACCCGTTCGTCCTCACCATTCAGCCGCTGATCGGCGCCATCGCTGCAGGTCTGGTGCCACTTTGTGTCTGAACGCCTCTTTAGAAGGGTTCATTCTCTCTCGTTGTGTTTTCTAAGTGGGCTGCTGGGATATGTGTGATTACTTCTTAATGTTTATTTACTTTCATCTACTTGAAAGGCAGAGCAGGGGAGAGAGAGAGAATCTCCCATCTGCTGGCTCATTCCCCAAACTCCCACCACAGCCAGGGCTGGGCCAGGTTGAAGCCAGGAGCCTGGAGCTCCTCGCAGGGACTCCTGGCAGGGGCCCTGGCCCTTGAGCCAACACTGCTGCCTCCCAGGATGCAGTAGCAGGAGCCTGGGTCAGAAGCAGAGGTGCTAGGGCTGGAACCAGCACTCTGGAATGGGATGCAGGCATCCCAAGCCCTGGCTTACCCTGTTACAACACGGCACCCACCTCCGCATGGCCAAGTTTCCAAGTGCCGGGGGGATGAACCTGTAAGGGGTTGGAGTCAGGATCTGCTGTGGTCTCAGCTGCCGACTCTGGTCTTGGACAAACACCTGATTCTGCCCGACCAGCTTCTGCATTCAGATAAAGGCTCTGTGAGTAACGGTGGCTTGGGTGTAGAGCCAAAGCCGAGAGAATAATTTCTTACTCCGCAGGATCTAGATCAACAGCTCATGTTGACATAACCTATTTGCCCAGTGATTCCAGGGTAGAGAGGAAAACCCGAGGGCTGAGGGAGAGAAGTGATAGAAAGCTGGAGAGGGAGGCAAGGCCGCTGGAGCCTGTTGCCAGTGAGATGTGCACGTGTGAGGCGGGGTTGACACGGAAGAGAACGATGACGCTCATTGTGAGGAAGGCGGCAGTAATTGGATTCCCTGCGCGAACACCATTCTGACAGCTGTGATTGAAGTGCCCGGCTACCAGTCTCTTCTGCTTTGTGCTGTGTCTAGGGAACGCCGTGATCCTCAAGCCTTCTGAACTAAGTGAACACACGGCTCAGGTCTTGGCCAAGCTGCTCCCTCAGTACTTAGACCAGGTAAGAATGTCTTGCCCCGTCTTGAACACAGCGGTTTGTCATGGAAAACACACGTTAGATCCTCCGGCTGACGCATGTCATTGCTGTCCAGGCATCTGCAGTTTCCCCAAGTGCCCAACAGTTGGCTTCCTATAAGAAATTAAGTTCCAAAATGCACTGCGGATGGCCCAGCCCTGACGGTTACATGTGTTTAGGTCCCTGGCTTCACGGGCACGCTTGCTATTGATAGATCTCCCACCGTGCGACATGTTGGATTAATCCTTGTTTGCACTACCATATGCTGTAGAGGTATTCATTTAGTGAGTTAATTTATGAGAGACTGGTAGCGTGCTGGGTGCCCCTTGTCTCTGACCATCTCTTTTATCCTAACAACTTGGCAATCTGTGTGATTACGAAAGAGTACTTCTGCTTAAAAAAAAAAAAAAAAAAAAAAAAAAAAAAAAAAAAAGTGGCCTAGCAGAGCCAGAGGGTGTAGCCCCGCCCCTGGGGTTCCGCTGTTGGCATTTGAGAGGATTGAAAGCTCCCTGCTAGGGAGGAAAACTGTGACGCCACCATGAAATTGGGGTTGGGAGGGGCTCCAGGAGCTCCACCTGCACTGGCTGCAGGGAGAAGTCTCACTTTGTTTTCAACAAAAGACAACTTTAAAATTCCTACCGGTATCTCACCTGTTAATTTGCAGTGGCCTCAGGCCAAGGCTGGCTCTTATCAGTGTTAAGGCAGCCCTGAGAGCAATTGTGTTCCTATAGGCGTGGCTATCCTCCTCCCCTCCCCCAGGAATGGTAATTTGGAAGGAAGGGAGAGGTCAGGGATTGTGTGGGGACTTGGAATCTGAAGCTGGAGGAGGAGGGGCCTGCTTTGCCCTTTAGCAGGTGTACATGTTTCAGCAGTCCAGTTGGGGGTAGGACAGTTGCTGTTGCTGTTAGCTTACTGGGAAGGAGGCGTCACTCACACCTGCTCTGTAGACAAAGCCTTAGCAAAGTTAAAACCAGAAACATGGGTTGGGCTGTTAAACTACGTGGTGAGTGCGAACTGCTTAGTCTTTCAAAGAGCAGACCGCATGGCACCGTGTGGCCCACAAGCCAGCTTCATGCTCCCTCAGAATCTTCTGAACATCTCCCTGGTCTCCCTTCCTTGTCCTGTGTTCTCTGCCCTGTCCAGGGTGTTCTCTCTCACAGAACAGCCGCTAAGCAAAGCCCAGTGCACACAGGGGCTCAGTTCCCAGCAGCTGGGGAGGAGGAGCTGAGGCCAGAGAAGTCCCCAGCTTGCCCGATGTCACGTAAATCCGCAAGTGGCAGAGCCCAGATTCAGCCCAGATGGACTTTGCAAGCGAGCGCTCTCAGCCGTGCTGTGTACCACTCGTTCAGCATCCTGTCGTGGGCTGAGCCCTGCTGTGTGTGCAGAGAAGAGAACATTCAGTTTAAGACATGCAGCTGAGATCTGTTGTGTGGCCATTGGCAGCAGCCACTTTCTCACCAAAATCCTCAGCTTACATGCACACACACATATACACACACATACAGACACACATACACACACATATACACAGACACACATACATGCACACACATACACGTGTACACATATACACATACACATACATACATGCACACACATACACGTGTACACATATACATACACATACACACATACATGCACACACACGTGTACACATATACACATACATACACATACAGATACACACATATACACATACATACACACGTACACATATACACATACACACATACAGATACACACATACATATATACACACATACATACACATATGCACATACATACACATACACACATATACACACGTACACATACACACACACATACACACATGCACATACACACATACATGCACATACACATACACACATACAGATATACATACATACACACACATACACATATACACATACACACATACATACACATACACACATACACACACGTACACATACACACATGCATACACATACACACATACAGATACACACATACATACACATACACATACATACACATATACACATACATACATGCACACATACACATACACGCACACACATATACACGTACACATATACACATACACATACATGCACACACACATACAGATACACACATACATACACACACACACGACCTGCATTTCCCTGCTCAAGTCCAACCATCTGCCCTCACCTGTGTCTCGATTGCCTAACTCAGGTAGAAAACTAGGGTGTCTCTGGGGCCATCCCAATGAGGCTGTCGGTTCCCCTGTGCCAGCGGCTCTGTCCTGCACTTGTCCTTGGTCAGCCCTCTCTTACGTCATCCATCCCGTCCCTCACTGTTCTTTACGGTCTCCGGGTTTTCCTGAAGTTTGCACGTTTACTTGAAGGCACTGCTGGTGTTGGCGTTACAGTGACCTTGGCAATGCAGGAGCTTCCGTTTCTCTTTCTTCAGGACCTGTACGCTGTCGTGAACGGTGGCGTGAAGGAAACCACGGAGCTCCTGAAGGAGCGCTTTGACCACATTCTGTATACGGGAAATGCTGCCGTCGGGAGGGTCGTCATGGAAGCTGCGGCCAAGCATCTGACCCCGGTGACTCTTGAGCTGGGAGGGAAAAGTCCGTGTTACATCGATAAAGACTGTGACCTGGACACTGTCTGCAGGTGAGGCTGGCTCTCCGCTCTGCCTAGCTCATAGCAGTAGCCTCCTCATCCTCTGTGCTTGAACCCTGTGCCTGATGGCACAAAGACAACATCATGAAGGGGTTGTCAAGACAACCAGGGCTCTCGCAGACTGTCCCTTGGTGCCGCTGTGAGAAGTCAGGGGCCGTAGGTCCTGGCATCACGTGGTTGTCCTTAGGAATTTCTGTTCTCCAGAATACAGACAAGTCTGGCAAGAAACTTGAATGCTCTCAATAGATGATCCAGGAAGTAGATAATCCAAAGGATTGTGTGTGCCTAATACAATCTTTAAATTTGCAGCTGGAAGTTGATCTCTTGAGAAACACCAGTATTACTGATTTTGTAGCTGGGAATAGCATCCTGCGCCTGAGAACTAGGAAATACAAGGGTTCAGATTCCCTCTGCTATGTCAAGTTCAGCCATCAGGAGGTACCAGGACGTAGAGCTGACACTGTGCTCTGGATAGTGTAGCTTCCTCTCCCTGTCACGGACAGGGAGCAAAGGAGGCGGGAGGGAGTTAGGTCAGGGTTTCTGAGGTAGAGCGTAATGGCTCGCACGAGAGACCCTGAGTGAGTGAGTGAGTGGGTGTTGAGATTTTGGGCTGTGTTCCCTGTGTAGGAAGGGCTTGCCGTAGTGGAGAAGGATCCTCGCAGAGGGGAAGGGTCTGAGAGGCTGGCACTCATCCTGCTTTGTCCCTGAACATCCTGCCAAAATGGGGAGAGGCGGAGTGTGCAGCTAGGTCCTGTGACGCAGTAGACGCCCTTGGCTGGAGCGGGAAGGGGCTGTTGGGATGCTGTGTCCGCTTTCTCTACAGCTGGCAGTGTGGCATCACTGCACGTCCCATTTCCCCGAGCTGGCTTCAGAACTCTCCTGCTCCTTAGAATCGTCTTCCTCAGCCGGAAAATGTAAATTAATCTAAGTTCCAACTGACTGATGTCGAGACTAGTTTTTATTTTTTTTTTAATAAACAGAATCAAGTAAAAACAGGAAAGCATTTCAGTTGCAAACCATTTAAACACCACAAACAGTGTGCCTAACAAATGAATATTTGGGCGGATTTGTGTTTTTGTCCCTCAGGCGCATAACTTGGGGGAAGTACATGAACTGTGGCCAAACCTGCATTGCTCCCGACTACGTTCTCTGTGAAGCGTCCCTGCAGAACCACATTGTGCAGAAGATTAAGGAAACCGTGCAGGTTTGTGCTCCACACACCCGAGCCCACTGATTTCAGCAAGACAAGGAATCGGCTTAACGATTTGCAGGCAGCGTCTCCATGCCCTCTTCCACCTGGGAGAATTCCAGTAGCATCTGGGACTGAATTAATTTTCTGGCTAATTGAAAGTGTTCTGTGCAGCTTCCCTAGGATGTCTGCTGGAAGCAAGATTAGGTTGGTGTTAAATCCATGTGACCGTCTAGTCGATTTGTTAGGGATCAGTTATGGCACACGCTTAAAAATTAACTGTGCCTCCGTGGTTCCGAGAAGAGCGCCAATCTCTTACTGTATAATTAGAGACCCGTGGCTCTTGCTGGTTAAGGTTATCAATTCTTATGTCTATAGAGGACCAGAAGTTGGAAGGAGTGAGTTGATTAAATATCTACTTATAATGTGCCCTCTATATGGCTGTCAGGCTTTGGGCGTGCTTAAAGTAAGGATCTGCTGTGAGGAGATTAAGGACGGCTGCATGGTAGTGTCATAAGCCAAGACGTGAATGAAGTGTGCAATCGGGATTGGTAGGAAGGAACAGGATGAGCAGGGTGATCGAGGTCAGTGGTGTGAGGGGGCCCCTCGGCCCCCTGGGTGAAAGAAAGTTCTGGAGTGCTCGTTGTGCACCCTGAATCTTGACTGAGCACTGAAACAAGGATCAAAAATACCAGAGCGATGCAGATGACTGGAGAGTGGAAATTGTGTGCCAGCAAGTTCACTGAAATGCTTCACGGCGTGCAGCGGGCGGGGACCTGGGGTGAGGTGCTGGGGTCTGGATGTGGGAGTTGGGCATCAATGGTAAGACTGACAGCGGATCCAGAACAGGAGACTGTGAAGGGAGTTGTGGGATGGGGAGAGGGCGGGTGGATCCCCGGGGTTGCTTCGGTAACTTTGTGATTGTCTTCATAGAAAGTCCTGGTTGTGTGCTTATTGAGGTTCTTCTGTCATGGTAATTTAGCAAAGCTCTGTTTTGACCATTTGAGTGCTGTGATCTGTGAAAGATCGATCAGTCCAGAGAAGATGTAACAACAAAATGGGGCAGAGGTCAACAGACGTTTTCTGTAAACGGCAGGTAGCAGATTAGGCCTTGCAGACTCTGGGTTTCTGTACAGCTTGGTGTAGGGGAGTGGTGGTCACCAACTATAAGAACAAATGAGTGACCTGCTCCAGACCAAGACGTCTTCCCTTCGCCTGCTCCCGCTGCCACAGCCCTGCCCCGGGAGAGCCAGGGATGGACTACAGTAGTAGATCCTTGGGAACCTTCCAGAACTATGGAAAATGATAGATCTATTGGGGGGGCAGGTAGGAATGGTTTATTTTCTTGTCCTTGACCTGCCAAAAAGCTTTCACTTACTACCTCTGTGCTACTGTTAAATTATTTCGTGGGGAGAATGTGTGTTGGATTCTGTGAGGATATGATAGCAGGCCAATTTTTGGGCGCGGGTGGATTTTGCCCTTACTTAAAGCAATTGAAACATGAGGGTGCTTCAAGAAGTTCCTGGACAATTGAATGAAAATGTAGGTTTATTTGGATGGGAGATTTTTTAAATGTATGCATGGTTTCTTTCACAGTATGTGTTTTCCATAAATTTTTTTTGAAGATCCTATGTGTGGGATTTTGTGACAATTAAATACTCCTATTGTTTTAAATAGGAATTTTATGGAGAAAACATAAAAGAGTCTCCTGATTATGAACGGATCATCAATCTTCGTCACTTTAAGAGGATACAAAGTTTGCTTGAAGGACAAAAGATAGCTTTTGGTGGGGAGACCGACGAGGCCACGCGCTACATAGGTAATGGAAACCACCCGGTCCTACGGGAAGCAGAGCAGCTTGGCAGGTTGTACTGACACTCCTTGTATCAGCCTTTCATTAGCTAAAATCCCTGAGAGGAGCTTCTTGGGAAAGGGAAGGTGTGTTTCAGTTTACAGTTCGAAGGTTAGGGTTCAGGATCAGGTGGCCCCATTGCCGGTGTCTGTGGAGGTCATGGCTGGTGCAGAGTGATAGTCACACTGTAAGCCAAAAAGGACAGCGAGGCAGAACTTGAACTCCCGTAATCAGGCCTGTCTCAGGAACCACCCTGAAGGGCACACCCCCAGGGAGCCAAAGGCCTCCCACCAGACCCGCCTCTCAGAGGCTATCCTTAGATCAAGCCTGCACCCTTGGCCCATCAACCACTAACATGGAGGCTTCCCAGTTTAAACATCTGCATGAGCTTCGGGAAGAAAAGTCCTGTACCACCCGTAACACTACATACTGATACTAAAGAGGCTTGCCTATATAGTGTTTATTTACTAAGCTATTAAAAAAATACTGCTTTCTGGTATACTGCTCTTCTTATAAGCTACTGACAGATCTGTATATGTATGCATGCTTCGTTATTCCACCTGAGTTGCACTGGCCTTTCATGTTTACATGTGTGTTTTTTTTTTAAAGATTTATTTATTTATTTGAAAGTCGGAGTTACACACAGAGAGAAGGAGAGGCAGAGAGAGAGAGAGAGAGAGAGCGAGGTCTTCCATCTGCTGGTTCATTCCCCAGTTGGCCGCAATGGCGGAGCTGTGCTGATCCAAAGCCAGGAGCCAGAAGCCTCTTCCTGGTCTCCCACGTGGGTGCAGGGGCCCAAGTCCTTGGGCCATCTTCCACTGCTTTCCCAGGCCACAGCAGAGAGCTGGATTAGCAGTGAGGCAGCCGGGACTTGAACCGGCACACGTATGGGATGCCGGCACTGCAGGTGGCGGCTTTACCCGCTACGCCGCAGCGCTGGCCCCTACACATGTGTTATTTAACCGTTTCTGTTCCTAACGATCCTTTATGTGATGCTCTCCAGTTTATGAATGGGAAAACAGCACAAAGGAAAGACCTTCACCACAGTTCTGCACCTCGCCAGCGACAGTCCCATTCCAGAAAGCAAGCCTTAGCCTGTCATGCTTGAACTTGCGATTTGTTCCTTATTTGTTCGCCTTCTTTGTGTTCTTTCTTTTCTACCATGAACATGTATTACTTTGAGTCTGAACTCCATTTTTTCTGAAGTAACATGCAAGGTGACCGAAAAATCACAGATACATTTGGTTGGCAAAGAAGCAGCCCAGAATAGCTTTGCTTATGCCCACTCACCAGATAGGATGCTGTGGATCACCAAAAGCCTGGCTTCAAAAAATCCAGCTTGAAGGCCATGAGTAATGAGGAAACGTTTCTTCTCTTCTGATGAGCTGTCTCAAGGCTCTGCTGAGCTGGGGGCTTTAGCGGTTACTTCTCCACCTTTCCCTCCTCCCATCCTCAGCCTATTGCCTTTGTCTGCTTCTAGACTGATCATTGGCCGGGGGAGGGGTTATTACGATTAGCTTCGATTGACTGGCACTTGCCCCTGCCTGGGTCGCCTTGGCTGAGCACACAGCCGTGCCGAGGAGGTTGGATGCCCAAACCAAGGTTCTCCGACCCGAGGAAGACGTGGGCATCGACTGATACACACCTGGAATGGTGTCCTCAGCCACGTGCCAGGACTGCCTACGAGAAACCAGGAGTAGGGAAAAAGCCAGCTGCTTGTTCTCGATGCCTTCTTTCATTTGAAGACCGGTTTCTCAGGTCTTTCTGGGCACTGCTAAGTGGCATGGCTGCTGGAACAGGTGCAGCCCCTTCACCATCCATGTTGCCCTTTCTGGAGCCCCTTGCCTGTGGCAAATGGAACACGGGAACAGGGGCAGAGACTACTGACCCTTTCAGTGTCTTTTCTGGATCTGTCTCACAGAGGAGAAGTACAAGCCAGTGAGATGCTATGCACGAAAGCACTTAAGGGGGAAGTGTTCATTTGCTGGACGGAGGAGCTGTCTGTGCTTTCATCCGTGAGAACCAGCACCTCAGTTAAACCATGCACATGGCTGTGTGCAGCATGAAATGTGAAGACATATTCCCGAGTTGGCATCTCCTCACACAGGGATGCCTTAGATCCCACTTCAGAGACATCTGCAAGGCTTCATCCACGGACTCGGGACTTTTCTCCGGAGACCTGACTTGGGTGGCAGAGGCAAAGGGCGAAACAAATAGATGAGACAGACGAAACACATGGAAGACACAAATAAAAAGTGCGAGACAGGAGACTTGGATTTTTTTTTTTTAATCTCCCACTTCAGCATTTGCACTTTGTGTGTTTTCGTTTCAGCCCCGACAGTACTGACTGATGTTGACCCTGAAGCCAAAGTGATGCAGGAAGAAATTTTCGGACCAGTTCTTCCGATAGTGCCTGTGAAAAACGCAGACGAAGCTATACAGTTCATAAATGAACGTGAAAAGCCCCTGGCTCTCTATATATTTTCTCATAACGATAAGGTAAGTCTGGGAGGGAACAGCTCCTCATCATAGTGACTTCTCACAAGTCACCTCGTGTGCTGTTCAACAAAGGATGATGTCATTTCTGTCATATCACCGTGCGCCAGGGGACGTTGTGTTTGTGTAGTGAGCTGTCTTGACTAATGAGGCCCCGGGGTTATCCCTGCATCCTTTCTCCCCAGTTCCCTGGGGTAGGTCTCAGACTGTAGTGGGGAGTATCACAAGGCTTTTTTTTTTTTTTTTTAAGAATCATTTTATTTATTTGAAAGTTAGAGTTACACAGAGAGAGGAGAGGCAGAGAGAGAGAGAGAGAGAGAGAGAGAGGTCTTCCTTTCCACTGGTCCACTCCCCAAATGACTGCAACGGCCAGAGCTGAGCTGATCAGGAGCCAGGAGCTTCTTCCGGGTCTCCCACACGGTTGCAGGGGCCCAAGGACTTGGGTCATCTTCTACTGCTTTCCCAGGTCACAGCAGAGAGCTGGATGGGAAGAGGAGCAGCCGGGACTTGAACTGGCGCCCATATGGGATGCCGGTGCTGCAGGCTGAGGCTTTAACCCGCTGCGCCACAGCGCTGGCCCCACAAGGCTTTTTGACTCACAAATGGCTCCTGGATAATTGGAAGACTTAGATGTACTAGCATTCGATGCTTTGCTGATGTTAATCCAGGGGGCATTGCTGTGTGCAAGAGCCTGCCCTTGACTGAAACGGCAGATGGGCCGGGTGGGACGGAGCTCTCTGGCCCTGGTGTGTTAATGCAGTGATGTCTTGGAACTCAGTTTCTCGAATGACTCAGTGGAGTGCGTCGCATCCCCGCAGGTCGAGCAGCTCTGCCACTTTGCTCGAGGCGCAGGCATTGATGTCACTAGGTGCCTGGTGGCTGCTACGGGACACTGGCCTCAGGGTGGGCGAGGAATTCAGGATCCTGTGGAGAAACAGGAAAACTAGAAGCAGGAAAGTGCAATGGGTCACAGGCTGGCTTCTGGACCCGCAGCGCTATGGAGAGCACAGGGTACAGACTTCTGAAGTGAGACCAGACATGTGGGGCCTGTGACGCGTGGGGCCTGTGACGCGTGGCTGGTAACAAAATGATTGTGTGACATTGGCAGTGACCGCAGACAATGTGAGGCGTAGTCTCCTGGTCAGGTGCAACTGGGTGGGGAAGCACGGCCCAGCAGTAGGTCACCTGAGGTCGTTTCAGTGCAGACTTGACCTTGGCCTTGGCACCCAGGCGAAATGACCATTTACTAATAAAGCATTATTGCCCCTCTTTGTGCCTTAGGCCAGTCCTTATATGGTTAGCATTTCATAAGGACTAAAAACAAACCTAGTACTCACGTGCTATAATTTACAGCAATGATTGAAAAATGATAGAATTGGCCGGCGCCGCGGCTCACTAGGCTAATCCTCCGCCTGCGGCGCTGGTACTCCAGGTTTTAATCCCAGTTGGGGCGCTGGTTTCTGTCCCGGTTGCTCCTCTTCCAGTCCAGCTCTCTGCTGTGGCCTGGGAAGGCAGTGGAGGATGGCCCAAGTGCTTGGGCCCCGCACCCGCATGGGAGACCCGGAGGAGGTACCTGGCTCCTGGCTTCAGATCAGCACAGCTCTGGCCGTAGTGGCCATTTGGGGGGTGAACCAACGCAAGGAAGACCTTTCTCTCTGTCTCTCTCACTATCTAACTCTGCCTATAAAAAAAAAGAAAAATAATAAAATTATTTTTAAAGGCCAGAATATAGTCTGAATTGTTCGTTGTAATCCAGAGCCTTTTGCTAGCACAGGCCGTAAGGTCCAGGGCGGCTCCTTTGTGTACAGGTCAAGTAGCCCTGTTCTGCACTGCTTGGGACCAGACGTGTTTTAGATTCTCTCAGGTTCTGGAATATATGCACATACATAATGAGATATCTTAGGGATGGAAACAAGTCTAAACACAAAACTCATTAATGTTTCCTGTCCCCACCCAGAGGTAATTGTATGCAGTGTTTTTAGCACACCTGCATTTTGACTGAGGCCCCTTGCATGATCAGCTGTGGAATTTTCCACTCGTGGCATCCTGTTGGTACTCAGCAAGTGTTGGATTTCAGATTTTCAGCTTAGAGATGAACAGCGAATTAGGTTGTTTCTAAGGCTGTTGGCGTATGTCCCCCACACCAAGAACTCCTGCTGGCACACAAAGCCAGGGTGATGGTTCCCACGTGAGTGGTAGCGAGTGCCCCCTTAGCACAGTGTCGGTGACCCGGACGCCTTTGGTCTGTCCCCAGCTCATCAGACGGATGATTGACGAGACGTCCAGTGGTGGTGTCACAGGCAATGACGTCATCATGCACTTCACGCTCAACTCCTTGCCCTTTGGAGGAGTGGGTAAGTACAGATCTCCCGTGCTCCTGGCGAACATTCCAGAAGCTCCTCCCCGCCACGAGTCACAGGCAGGCTGCCGAGGAAGTTCCCGCTGCTTCCTCTGTGGGTCCCCCGTGGCTGTCCTCTCCCGAGAGGGGCCTTTCCGGGCCACCCAGTTGACGTTGGTTTGCCCGCTTCCCTGCTCTATTTCTGTCCTCGGTAGCACTGCCCATGGCTATAATGACTCTGTTCACTTGTTTATTGTTCTTTTAGATTTAGGAGATTGCAGTGCCAAGAATCAGTCTCTCATTAATTAAATAAGCTCTCTGATCTCTCCCTCTTTTTTTTTTTAAAGTGAGGTAGTGGAGGAAATGTTCAGAATGCTGGGGGCTGACAGCCGTAAGAGAACCTTCTACTGGCTCTTTGTTTTCTACTCAGAGAACCCTGCAGTGGGATCCAGGCGTTCCCTGCAGTCTCCTATCGCCCGTGGAGAGGAGAGGCCTTTCCCTGTGGTTGGGGGCGCACGCGATCCTGTGCTCCAGGGTCTGTGCTTGGAAAGAAATTGGTTCCCCAGGCGGCCCTGTGGACGCGGCCTGGTCCGGCCGTTCCCGTGGGGCTGTGAGCTGCCCCCGTTTCCCATTCCTGAGATGACTGACTCACGCCTCACTTCTCCCCTGGGACTTGGGTGGCAGGCTTGTCCACTGCCTACCCAGGAACATCACAAAACAACCGATCGTAAAACTGGCGGAGCAAGCCAGAGCAGATTGTGAAAGTACCAGTCTTCACAAGCCCTCCATTATCCTCATCGCTCTCGCTCTCTCGCTCTGTGATATCATAAATCAATGACTGCACATCACACAGTGGGCCAGCGTGGCAGGGCCAGCTGTCCCTGGGCAAGGAGACCTTGTCCCATGGCCAAGGAACCCAGGCCACTGCTGGTGAGTGCTGAGGTCCCCTTTGGGATGCAAACATCTTGCCAGCACCCGCAGAGTGCCTGACGCACGTGAGCTGAGGTGGGCAGAGGCCAGTGGATCTGGCCGGGTCCAGACTAGAGAGGGTGAGCGTGGGAGGGGAGCGACTATTCTGGGGGCTAAGCAGCAGCAGCTGCCGATGGAGTGAGTGTGAGAAAGGGACTGAGTGAAAGATGGTGGCTCCTGGGGTCGCGGTTGGAATGATTGCAGATTTACAGCCTGAGTTCTTGCTTTCTCCTAAGATTTGTTTATGTATATGCAAGCTGGAGTTACAGAGAGAGAAAGACACACAGACACCGAGCTTCCTTCTGCTGGTTTGTTCCCCAGATGGCTGCAGTGGCCAGAGCCGAGCCAGGCTGAAGTCCGGAGCCTGGAGCTTCTTCTAGGTCTCCCATGTGGGGTGGCGGGGGGCCCAAGCACTTGGGCCATCTGCTGCTGCTTTTACCAGGCCGTTAGCAGGGAGCTGGATTGGAAGTAGAGCAGCTAAGACACGAATTGGCAGCCATATGGGATGCTGGGTCCCAGATACCACAATGCTGGCCCCCACAGCCCAAATTCTTAAAAGTTTGGCTTGCCGGTGCCGCGGCTCACTAGGCTAATCCTCCGCCTAGCGGCGCTGGCACACCGGGTTCTAGTCCCGGTCGGGGCGCCGGATTCTGTCCCGGTTGCCCCTCTTCCAGGCCAGCCCTCTGCTGTGGCCAGGGAGTGCAGTGGAGGATGGCCCAGGTGCTTGGGCCCTGCACCCCATGGGAGACCAGGAAAAGCACCTGGCTCCTAGCTCCTGCCATCGGATCAGCGCGGTGCGCCGGCCGCAGCGCGCCGGCCGCGGCGGCAATTGGAGGGTAAACCAATGGCAAAAGGAAGACCTTTCTCTCTGTCTCTCTCTCTCACTGTCCACTCTGCCTGTCAACAAAAAAAAAAAAAAAAAAAAGTTTGGCTTATGCTCTGTTGTCCTTCATTCCTCGGTTCAGCCAACAAGATCCTGGCTCCCACGGAACTGTTGAAGCAGACAGCTCTATAACTGTTCTGGGTGGGATCACAGTGCCCCATATTGAAAATCTCAGGGGCTTGGGTTCAGTCCTTGTCCTACTTGATGAGGTAGCATATGCCATCACCAACCGTATCCTCTTTGAAACAAAACTAGCTTTCTCCCCTAAATGCAGAAGGAGTACAGGCTTTTTAAAGAAAATGTGGGAAAGGCCGGCGCCGCGGCTCACTAGGCTAATCCTCCGCCTAGCGGCGCCGGCACACCGGGTTCTAGTCCCGGTCGGGGCGCCGGTTCTGTCCCGGTTGCCCCTCTTCCAGGCCAGCCCTCTGCTGTGGCCAGGGTGTGCAGTGGAGGATGGCCCAGGTGCTTGGGCCCTGCACCCCATGGGAGACCAGGAAAAGCACCTGGCTCCTGGCTCCTGCCATCGGATCAGCGCGGTGCGCCGGCCGCAGCGCGCCGGCCGCGGCGGCCATTGGAGGGTGAACCAACGGCAAAGGAAGACCTTTCTCTCTGTCTCTCTCTCTCACTGTCCACTCTGCCTGTCAAAAAAATAAAAAAAAAAAAAAAAAATACAAAAAAAAAAAAAAAAAAAAAGAAAAAAAAAGAAAATGTGGGAAAGATAGAAGAATCCAGGGAATAAGAAAATTCCCCACAACTCCACTGTAAATTACCCAAAGAATAAAAGTTTAAATCACCCATAGTGCCAGACAGCTGGTGTGTGTCTGTGACACACATGCATACTCACGTACAGTTGAATGTTTTATTGAAAGGAGTCCTGTTGCATATTGTTTCCTAACCTTTATGTCACAGGACAACACAACCCTATGGCATCCTGCCTACATGTTGTTATTTTTTTTTTTTTAAGATTTTATCTATTTATTTGAGAGGTAGAGTTATAGACAGAGAGACAGAGAGAGAATCTTCCATCCACAACAGCCAGAGCTGGGCAGATCCAAAGCCAGGAGCCAGTCCGGCGCCGCGGCTCACTAGGCTAATCCTCCGCCTTGCGGCGCCGGCACACCGGGTTCTAGTCCCGGTCGGGGCGCCGGATTCTGTCCCGGTTGCCCCTCTTCCAGGCCAGCTCTCTGCTGTGGCCCGGGAGTGCAGTGGAGGATGGCCCAGGTCCTTGGGCCCTGCACCCCATGGGAGACCAGGAGAAGCACTGCCATCGGATCAGCGCAGTGTGCTGGCCGCAGCGGCCATTGGAGGGTGAACCACAGCAAAGGAAGACCTTTCTCTCTGTCCTCTCTCTCTCTCTCACTGTCCACTCTGCCTGTCCAAAAAAAAAAAAAAAAAAAAAAAAAAAAGCCAGGAGCTTCTTCAGGGGCCCAAGCTTGGTCCATCTTCTACTGCTTTCCCAGGCTTAGCAGAGAGCTGGATCCAAAGAGGAGCAGCCAGGACTAGAACCGGTGCCCATATGGGATGGCCAGCACTGCAGCGGAGGATTAACCTGCACCACAGCCGACTCCCGTGTCATGATTTTGTGACACACACTGTCCCTTCATAGGAATGTGGCACATTAGCATAATACATTTCTGGTGTAAGATTGTTGTGATTTCAAAGTTTTTGATATTATAATACTTACATATCTGTGTGATTTGTGATTGTTTCTTTCAGAAAAGTGTCTAGAAAGCTGATTCCTAATATTAAAAGGGCTTAAAAGTTTTCCACACAAAATCCTCTATCTTCTGATTCTAAAAGTACCAGAGATTGAAATGGCAAAAAGTCCAAACAATGAAGCAGAACACAAGAAAGCTATAAGGAAAAATGTAATGACTACCAGACATAAACATTATTAATATTTGATATATAGTTTAGGTTTTTTTCTTTGACAATGTTTGTCTTCATGGGATTTATAAAAAAAAAAAATTATTGGGGCTGTCTCTGTGGCACAGCAGGTTAAGCCATGGCCTGCAGCACCGGTCTCCCAAATGAGCTCTGGTTCGAGTCTCAGCTGCTCCACTTCTGATCCAGCTCCCTGCTAATACACCTGAGAAAGTGTGGAAGATGGCCCAAGTCCCTGGGCCCCTGCACCCACGTGGAGACCTGGGTGAAGCTCCTGGCTCCCGACTTTGGCCTCTCACAGCCCTGGCTGTTGTGACCATCTAGGGAGTGAACCTGAGGATGGAAAACCTGTCTCTCTCTGTTACTCTGCCTTTCAGATAAATAAATAAATCTTTGAATGTATTTATTGATTTACATATTTGAAAGGCAGAGGAACAATAAGAAAAAAAGAATCTTTGATCTGCTGGCTCACCACCAAGTGGTCGCAGTGGCTGCAATGTTTAAATGAAAGGGGTTTGGCTCATCTTCTGGTAGTCACAGTTGCGCACTGGATTAGGTTGAAGCCGGGAGCCAGGTACCCCATCCAGGTCTGCACATGTGACTCAGGTACTTGAGCCGTCTTCCGCTGGCCAGTAGCAGGGAGCTGGATCGGAAGCCAGGCGGCCAGGACTCTTACACAGGTATGGGCATCCCGAGTGGCAGCTCAGTGTGCTGGCCACAGTGCCTGCCCAGGTCTCCATGGTTTCTGGTAGGGATCGCCAAGTCCCCTGCCGAGCTGCACCTCTATATCCCTGGGAATGGTAGATGAGCGCCCACGTGACTGTTCCGCTACTGGACTGCTACCCAAAACACCTGCCACCTAAGTCTGTCTTCCTTTGATTATTCCCGAGGTTGAATTTTTTTTTGGTTAGTTCTCGTGACTTTTCTATTAATGTCCCTTTTGATATTTTTGCTATGTTCACCTCTCCCCTTACTTATGTGTGACTTTTTTTATAAGTAAGAAATTAATTCTTGGTTGTATCTGTAAGAAGCATTTCTTCCCAGGTTAAAATTTTGTCTTTTTACTTGTCCCTGTGATTTGGAAACTTTCGGTTAGCTGATCCTAGGAGGGCTTTTTCTTATGGTTTCCGACTTGGGAAGTAGGCCTAGGAATGTCTTCCCTACTGTGACGTTAGGTTAAATATCACCCTGTGTTGCCCTCAATATTTGACTTTTTTTAACATTTTAACCATGGAGTTTATTTGGATGTTGTGTGATGTGAGACTCTTCCCTTTATCTTCTTAAAAAAATATTTTATTTATCCCCTTTATCTTTTTTCCTCCAAAGAGTAGAACAATTCTGTTAGCACCATTTTTTTGGAATAATCATCTTTATATACTATTGGAACTCAAGAAAACACATGATTAGGTCTTTCATAGGGTTTCTCATTGGTTTCCTTATCTTGCTGGTTTCTCCTCCCCTGGGCCAACCCCACGGTTTTCATTGTAAAGTAGCTTTATAGGTAGCATTAGTGTGCTGAGTCCACACACACAGAGAGGCAGGAAGGGAGTCGAAGAGCCTGTGGCCATGGAGCCCACGTCGCCTGTCTCAAGACCCACATATTCAACCAGGCCCGTAGTTTGTGCTTCAGGGTCCAGTGCTAAATTTATTCTTTAGGTGAACTTTAGATCACTGCTACCTCCTAAACACCACACACAAGACACACACACACACACCACACAGAGAAAGCTCTTTGAAATCTCTGGGATTTAGGTTGAAATTACTTGGAACTAAACCACATCATTTTGGCAAGAATTTGGCTCTTTCGATGGGAGCCCTAAGGGGGCCGTGTTACGTCTCTCTGTTTCCGTAACGCTTTATGTCCTTCGGTAAAAACTTAAGTGGCCTTCATGGATTCTCTAGCTTTCATAGCCATGAATTTTATGTTTCCCACAATTCTGTTCCTCCGGCTTTTGGACACTGTTTTTCCCACTTCCCTCTTTCTTTGCCTGTGCTTTGGCCGGCCCCCTCTTCCTCTGCCTTCCTTAATGTCAGGGCCCCTGGGGGTCGCCTCTGAGTGGTCGCTCTGCGTTCTGGGCCCTGTGAACCTCCCTGGGCCATGCACAGGCCCGTCTGTCTGCGCATGGCCCGTCTGTCTGCTCAGCGCACACTCCCCGTTTTGCACCTGCCTGCCTGTTGTTCTCACAGTGCGTGGAGAAATGGAAACTGTCGCAGGGCGTGGCTTCTTAGAGGGCCGACGCTGTGACACTTGCTCATGGACCCACAGTTGGAAACCCTGCGGCCGTGGTCCTGTCTCAAGGGGCTTGGGGAAGTGAGTGAGTGAGTGGGATTGTGGGTAAACAAAGCACGGGGAATGATGGGAATGAGAGTACGTTGTAGGGGCAGACGGATCCGGGTTCCAGGCCTTGCTGCCTGCCAGCCACGTGACTGGGCCTGCGAGCTTCACAAAGTAGGGTTGTGGGAAAAATTATCTTAGAGACTTCACGTAAGCTCTTGGCACGGTCCGGGCGTGCGTCAGAGCCACAGGCCTCAGAGAGCTGTGTGCTCGCCCTGCTGTTGGAAGGAGCCCTGGGTGACAGCTCAGCTTCGCTGGGCCAGGGGAGACCCTTTCCTGGACAGAGACCTTTGCCACACGCCGGGGGGGGGGGGGGGGCCGAGCCGGAGACGTCGCTGGTGTCCCCCCCAGCGAAGCCTGTGTTGTCTCTTTCCTTCTTTTATAGGTCACAGCGGGATGGGGGCTTACCACGGAAAGCATACTTTTGACACTTTTTCCCACCAGCGCCCCTGCTTGTTGAAGAGTTTAAAGGGAGAAAGCGCTAACAAGCTCAGGTACCCCCCCAACAGCCAGTCCAAGGTGGACTGGGCAAGTTTTTCCTCCTGAAACAGTTCCACAAAGGAAGCTTGGCCTCCTGCTGCTCGCCGTCCTGGGCATCGTGGCAGCCCTGTGGTCAGGTGAGTGCTGCTTCCGCCCCGCCCCCTGAGGCCGGGCTGCCCCGGCTGCTGCCAGCACCGGCTATTCAGTCTTGCCCGCAGGGCTTGCTGTTAGAAAATTCTCGAATTCTGCGAGCCGCACGTTAGCATCCGAGTCCGAGACAGGCTCAGCAGGCAGCGGTGCGGTGCCTGCTTTTTGTCAGTGCGGCTGTTGAAGGGTAGCCAGTGTGCTCGCAACTGCTGTCTGTAACGCACGCTCGCTCACTGCTGTCTGTAGCCACGCGTGCTCGCACACCTGCTGTCTGTAGCCACGCACGCGCTGCTACTGCTGTCTGCAGCTGCTTCCCCCGGCAAGGGTCAGAGCAGAGCCGAGCGGCGGAGTCCCCGTCAGCGCAGGTGCGTTGTGACTTCCGGTCTGAGAGTCCGGACACACCTAACCTGCGCTGGGGAGTCATGGGCGGTCTCACCCACGGCTGTGGTGTTCATCCTTCCTGTTCAGTTGTTCTGCAATGTTCTGACAGCAGCACGCCACAGGGATGGAGGAGCCAGGTCTGTGGTGGATGTGGGTTGGTGGAGCAGCTGGCCAGGGCGATCTGAACAAGGCGGGTCTACCGGATGGAGTTTGTCTTCGGTGGTCGGTCATCGCAGCGATGGCCTTGCAGAGAGGCCCTTCCTGGGCAGTTTGTGAAAGGCCTTGCAGAGAGGCCCTTCCTGGGCAGTTTGTGAATCGTTGGGGTGTAGGAGGAGATGAGAGTGACGAGGGAGTAGAGGAAGGGAGACTGTATTCTGGGAGCCCTCGGCCAGCCAGCTGAGGGCACGCATTGAGCAACACCAGGGCGTGGGCGGGGAGGGGTGCAGGAATGAGCCAGTTCATAGAAACAGCTCTGTTGAAATAAAAGGGGCTTGGCTCGCCCACCGCACACGGGCGGAGCTGGAGATCCGAGTTGCATTTGAAATCATCGTTTGGGTTTTCTCAGAAACACCAAGCTGTGCTGAGGAGACAGGCCCTGTCGATTTTTCTAGTAGCTCACAGCCTGCGTGGGCCCAGGAAGCAGTGAGGACCAGATCTCAAAGGCCAGCTCTGTCTGTCACAGCGAGGTAGGAGCTCCTCGTTCTCTCTCTGTGTGGAAGGTGGGCCCCGCGGGGGTGTGTTTTCCTTTAGGTGTTTGCTTCTCAGGGCTTCTGCAATCAGAACGTGATTGTCTTGGACATCTTCAGTCCTGGCCCAGAGTGGCAGTGGGGTACAACCTGTCCGCCACTTTAAAGTGGGGAGGCACTAGGGATCTAAGAGCCGTGTGCAGAGACGGTGGTGGAGCAGCCTGCATTTCTGGAAGAGGACAGATCTGGGGGAAGCTCAGCCAATTCAGGCCTGCCCAGTCCCCATTCACACAGTAAGCTCTGTGTTGCATAACTTGAGAACAATCTCAGGATCTCTGAGTCATTCCGATTTGCTTTGTTTTGAAAATAAGGTGTCCTTTGGAATTCCTGACAGGTAGCTAGTGAATGAAGCCGCAGCACGCCTTTAGGGCTTACTACTCCCACTACAATCTTCCAGGGCTGGGGACCTGGTTGGAGGCAGGCGGGAGGTTCTAGTCCTTATCTGTCCCTAGGAGCCTGACCTGGACCTGCTTGGTTGGGGGGGATTTCTCAGC